TATTGTAATATTATAAAATTATAAATATTTATCATTTTTTACTTATATCTCTATTATTTTCTTAATAATATATATAATTTAGTTTTATTTATATTTATTTTATCTATAATTTTGGTTAAAATATATTAAAAATTTTATGCTTTACATAATTATATCTAAAAGCATATATTAAGGTAAAAAAAAAGTATATATATTTTATATACAATATAATGTTTTATAATCATAAAATTTTCTTAATAAGAAGACAAAATAATGATTTCATTTTAGGACAATTTTTATCTTTCCTGTAATTTATGAAAGAAAATAAATATCATTTTATTATTTTTTTAATAATATAAATAAAGTTATAAAATAAAAAATAAATTGTTAATATTTTTTATCATTTTACTTAACCTTTTAACATATCTATTTATACAAAATTAAGAAATCGCAAATAGAAATCCTAACATTTTTTAGATCACCTTGAGTATTTTTTTAGTTTCTCATCATAACTATTTTAGTTTGTTAAAATAGAAAATAATTATTTAGCATATGTTAAATGAGATATTGAAAATATTTATAAAAAAAAAAAAGATTATAAGAATAAGATTACTTTTTACCATACAAGCTTACAACTTATGCATAAGTATACAACCTATATATGAGTATACGTCAATATATATGGATTTGTACAAATTATTCCTCAAGAAATGATTCATTTTTTTTCTCTTTGTAACATTATATATATTTCTTTTAAAATCTAAATTTTAATGATATTAAATAAATTATTTTTTTATCACACAAATCAAAAAATAACTCGCAATGATATATTTAAGAATAAATTTGTTGATTTTGTAAAAATTATGTTTACGGATCTAATGATAAATAATAGGTTTAGGGTTTAATTTTATAAAAACATCCGAATTATATATTCAAAAATTGAGTGACCTATCCTAACCCCTAATGTAGATCTTAATATTGTTCTAACATGTAAATTCATTTCTTTAAATACATTTTAAAATAGTTTGGCATGGTTATAGTCAATGCATGTATCCCAATTTTTTTTACTTATTTGCCCTCAATAATTGGGTATCCAAGATATCCTTACTTGTAAATTAAGAATTCTCTATAAAGGGAATGCTCTGGTTCCTGATCAAGACACAGGAAAATAGAGAGATCCAAACATCGTAAAATACATGTTTGCAATCAAATTTTAGAGTTGAATAAAGTTTTCAACTCTAAAGTTTTCATCTATACAAATAAATCTCTTTAAAATCATGCTTTCTTTTGATTATATATAGTCTATTTTCAACATGTCCATAATGCCACAAAGATTATAAAAAAATAAATAAATAAATACATACAGTGAATTTCGAAACATACATCAAGTAAATTTCAAAACATTATAGATGATATATTTTATCAAATATGGAAATTGCAATAGTTTATTTAGATAATTTTTTAATATTCTCTAGAAATATTAATCAACATATAGAATCAAAATGCATGATTTTAAAGAGGATTAAATAGATAATAACATACAAAATTGAAACTTTAATCTTCGATTGCAAACTTGGATTTTACAATATGTTCAGATATCTCTATTTGCCTCTGCCTCGTTCAGGAACCAGAGGAATCATTTTATAGAGAGATCGAAGTTCTTAATTTACAAGGAGCTTCCCATTATTAAAAAGGATATTCAATGTGCAGAAAATGTCAACATGAGATTGTTGACAGGTTTATATAATTATATAGATCAAGACATTATGCATTCCTTAGGTCGAAAACTACAACAGCCTCATGCTCTCAGTATAATTTGAGTCTATTGGTGAACAGCTCCATGCCGTCTAAAAATGGTTTAGCCACATTAATATAAGACATACACAGCCCAAATAATTTTAACATAATTTAGCCAGCATTAATGAAGTTTTTTTTTAAGGAATTCCAATAACATGATTCAAAGACTCTGTACATACTATTACAACTCCTACCACTAGACTAAGCATCATTAACTAGTTTAATAAGACACTTTGACGCCATTTATGTATCCAAAAAGTCTACCAATATCATTTTGGCTCCCATTCTGTAGAGTAAATTATAGCTATAATCTATGGTTTTCCTTCATACAATATAAAACTAATCATTCATTCATTTATTCATTCCTCAGCCCTATTAAACTTTGGCTGCCAAATGAGTTAATGAGAAGATTACTACCGCTGCACAGATGACAAAATTAAACCTTGAAGGGAACCACATGAAGGTGGATAAAAATCTTTTGCTGATAAGAACAGCCCCACCAATTCTTGTGTTTGACGAGTCAACATGAAAATGTTTTCAGCCGAACTCTTTGTTGTCCATTCCTCTATCATCCTGCAGAAATTGATCAGATTCGTGGGAAGCAAGTTATACAATAGATATATATCATGCATGAAGTCATTGATTATTCAAAGTTTACGGGTAAAAAAATCATTATTCCTACCCGTTTCTAATCAAAAGAAAGATTTTTCTTTATATATATATATATATATATAGTGTCTCCTTTTTGAGCTTATTTCAAGAGGATAATAAACGGAAGGAAAAAGGCAGTGCTCTAGTAAATTGAACATGGAAAACATCAAATGAAACAAAAGCAAAGAGTATATATGCTCCTAATCCTAAAGCTCAAACAAAAAAGAAAATGGAAAAAAAAAATTTTACATATTATATTTTTCATTGATTTATCATGATAAAAGAGATAATTCTATGACTGACCTTAATTGAGATTCTGTTGCATTGTGGCAGTCAGAAAAAAGCACTTTGATGATGGGCTGTAACTTTAACTTAGTAACTGGGTCTTTGTCCTCTGCACTAGAACAATTACCAGAACAGGACCAAGTATCTGGATTCAAGAGAATGATTTGCAGGACTGGGGATTGGGTTCTCAGATCTCTAATGACAAACCTAAATGATGATTCATCATTTGCACACTCCATCAACTGATTTGCAAACATTTTGCCCATTGTATACTTGCTGTTGACAAATATAATGCATTAAAACCTATTCAGGATATATCCGTATGTTATAAATGAGCTTCAGAATATAATCCTTCCCCGTCTTAAATTATATATATATATATATATATATATATATATATAAATAAATAAATAAAAAACCGCTGCAACTGGAAAAAGAAAGTAATAGCAATAGCCTAGAGTGCACAACATGGATACAGTCATGTTCACCGGATCAAGAAAAAACGGCATGCCAGACAGATTTTTTTTTGCCTTTGGCCTATAATATAATTAATGATATACAACCTTTTCAGGATATATCCGTATGTTACTAATGAGCTTCAAACTATAATCCTTCCCCAGCTTAAATTATATATATATATATAACCGCTGTAAGGCCTATTAACTGGAAAAAGAAAGTAATAGCAATAGCCTAGAGTGCACAACATGGATACAGTCATGTTCGAGAAAAGACGGCATGCCAGACAGATTTCTTTTTGCCTTTGGCCTATAATATAATTACTGATATACAACCTTTTTAGGATATATCCGTATGTTACTAATGAGCTTCAAACTATAATCCTTCCCTAGCTTAAATTATATATATATATATAACCGCTGTAAGGCCTATTAACTGGAAAAAGAAAGTAATAGCAATAGCCTAGAGTGCACAACATGGATACAGTCACGTTCACAGGATCAAGAAAAAACGGCATGCCAGACAGATTTCTTTTTGGCCTTTGGCCTATAATATAATTAATGATTAACAACCTTTTTCAGGATATATCCGTATGTTACTAATGAGCTTTACAATATAACCCTTCCCTGGCTTAAATTATATATATAAACCACTGTAAGGCCTATTAACTGGAAAAAGAAAGTAATAGGAATAGCCTAGAGAGCACAACATGGATACAGTCATGTTCAGAGGATCAAGAAGAAACGGCATGCCAGACAGATTTCTTTTTACCTTGAGTTGTCAGGACCATGTCTTCAGTCTTCACTATTAACTCTTTCGTTTATAAATACATGGCATTTGTTGGTAAAACCTTTGCACACACTATTATGAAAGAACCATAATATTGTACCTAATTCCAACCTATACATATTAAAGGCTTAAATATAATTTTCGTGCATGTAATTTATCGTTTTTCCACTTTTAGTCCCTGTAAATTTTTTCGTTGTTGTTTCATTCCTAACCTTTTATAATGTTTCAAAAATAGTTTCAGCCATTAACTTTAGTTAAAAAAAATTCTATATGACAAACAAAATACATATTATATTCATTATATTTTATTTCATTATTGTCACATACATAAATTAATTTTAAAATTATTTTAGACAAAATTTCAAAATGCACTTCATTATTGTCACTTTATCATACTCTTCATGCACACTTTCTTTGAACTATGAAACGTCAAATCCTAGCTATCATTGGTGATAGAGCTAGAAAATCAACCTCCCTTCTCCGATGAGGTGTCCTACTCGTTGTTGTGACAGTTGCAATATGTAACGACGGTCTTGATTATCTTGAACCAACCGACATAGTTCTTCTTAGAGTTGAAGGAGGCGGCTTTGGTAGTGGTGCCAACAAAGTAGTGACGCTCTTGCAACACATGAGCTCTTACACGATGGGAAAGTAGTTGAACATGAGGTCAAACTCCTCCATAGTGAGGAGACGACCAACAATGACCTCATAGAGGCAGTAGTCATTGAGGACGAACTCAATATTGTTATCGAGATTGTAGATTGGGAGAAGTTGATCCTCATTGGGGGGATTGGGGTTTAGATTGAGAAATTTAGGGTTTGTATTGTCAGATTTTGACTGAAGAGGGGAAGCACAATCATGAGGGTGAGGTTGAGGGTTTGGGTGCGGTGAAGTGCATTTTGAAATTTTATCTAAAAAAATTTAAAATCAATTTACTTGCATAGCAATGATGAAATGAAATATAACGAATATTATATGTAATCCATTTGCCACGAATATAATATGTATTCCATTTGCCACATAGGATTTTTTTAATGGTAGTTGACAATAAGGACTATTTTTGAAACATTATAAAAGGTTAGAGATAAAAGTGAAAAAACAATACATTACAAGAACAAAAATTATATTGAAACTTACTTCCTTGAAAACATTGTTAGCGCACATGCATAAAAGAACTCATGTTAACCAGTCACTGCCGCTTCTTTCCCACCAAGAATATGACAGAAAAACTAAATACTTTTTCTTCCCCAATATTATATTTCTACTGCACAATTATTATCTATCAATTTTACTAATTCATTTATTATTCCAAAATTAGCTGATAGGATGAATCAAATTATTCACATTGGCATTAATTTTACTTAAATCCTAGAAGCATACATGTTTTATTGTATCTATTTCCCATAGTCAGCTCACCTGCAACCGAGTTATAAGGGCACAAAACCGAGTCACCTTTTTTCTTTCTGATAAACAAGTCTAAGACAAAGAGAGTGAATCTAGTCATTCTTTGCTAACCTGAACATGTCCCCTGATCCTCCAACTGGCACACTGGTCGAAATATAACATTTGAACAATCGTATTCCCCCATCTACAAGTGTATGGCCGTCAAAACATGGGTAGGCTCCAAGGAAACACGTGCATTGAGGACATCTAAATTCACGCCAATCAATATCCTTTGAAAGGTTTGATAATCTAGCCATGAAAATATCTTCAAGAAAACCGTTGAGGAAGGATTTTTGATTTCCCAAAATTTCCACGGTCTCAGTTGACATCCCTTCTTTTCCATCAGTTCCACATAAATGATGTTCCCTGTCACCATTCCCAAGATTGCTTGTCATATGAGCACAACAACTAGAAGCTTGGTTCACATCTTTGGCATCATCTGAATCTGGACGTGAGTCAGAGAAATCACTATGATCAGGTTCATTCTTAACAAACTCACATCTGGAATTCACAGAAGCCTTATCATTCTCAGGATGTGCAAACCTAGAACTCTCATCAAAAGCAAGAGTCACTCCACTATCATCACTGCAAGTTAAATCTCTTTCACCATTCAATTCACAGTTTCTCATGCCTTTGCCAACACCATCATCTCTGGGGTTTTCTGCTATAGAAATAGAACTACACCCTTGCTCTCCACACCCTTTGCCAACACCACCATCATCGATGCAAGTTGAAGTTCCTTCATCACTCAATTCACAGTTTCTCATGCCTATGCCAGCACCATCATCTCTGGGGTTTTCTACTATAGAACTACACTCTTGCTCTTCACACCCATTGTCAACACCCCCATCATCACTCCAAGTTGAAGTTCTCTCACCATCCAATTCACAGTTTCTCATGCCTTTACCACCACTATCATCTCCAGGGTTTTCCGTTACACAACTCCACTCTCGCTCTCCACACCCTTCAAGAAAATCACATTCCACAAGATCATCCTTGCAAAGTGTGACAGAAGTAGAACTCAATAGACACATCCCCGGCGCGCACATATATGAACTCACATACCTCATCACCATCTTCTCACTTATCCCTCCAAACGAACAACAACAAGCCCCAAACCAGTTATCAGCCACCTCTCTCCAATTCACCGAAGGCATTTCAACAAAAGTCCTAAACAAGCAATACAAACAAAAGCCTCAACAATATAACATGAAAAGAAAAAAAAAAGAAAAAAAATAGCCCCAGGACCCTATTACTGGCAGTATATTATCACATTTCTTTTTTTAAGGGTTTGTTTGGATTCCAGAAGCATTACTAGAAAAAATACGTAGAAAAATTGAAATAAACTTTTCCATAAACTAAAACTAGCTTATGCATAAGGATCTGTTTGGATAAGTTTCTTCAAAAACACTTCTAGAAGGAAAAAAAAAATAAGAAGAAAAATTGAAATGAGCTTCTCTATAAGCTAAAAAACCAGCTTATACATAAGTTAAAAAGTAAGATTTTGGAGAAGCTAATAAGATAGAATATCTACAAATTAACTTATTCACAAGCTAATTTTAGCTTATTGAGAAGCTCATTTCATTTTTTTCCCCTATTTTTCTTTCTTAGAAGTATTTCTATAGAAGTTTATCAAAACAAGCTCTAAGTTAAACATAAGATTTTAGAGAAGCTAATAGAAGAGAGCTTTCATGATTTAGTTTATACATAAACTAATTTTATTTTATGGACAAACTTATTTCATTTTTTTTCTTCCTTTATTCTTCTCCTAGAAGTGCTTAAGTTTACCAAACAAACCCTAATTTTAACCTCATATACCAACAAACCATGTGTAAGACAAATAAGAACTCCCAACATTACTAACTTTTTCCTAAGCTTTTTTTTTTTTTTTTTTTTAAAGTACTTTTCCAAAATTAACTGAAGCAAACATTGACATGGTACCTGAGAGGAACTTTGGTCAACTTGAAGGCGCAAGTTCTGCAGTAAAAGTCAACTTCTCCTGCAGAAGACAATTTTTCCACATCTGCAACAAAAGAAGAGATGGAAAATAAACGCATTTCGGAACAAACATATTTAAAAAAAAAAAACGAATAATTAGAAGCGGCATTTTGAGGTTACCGGATTGTGAAACGAGAGGGTCCGTTGGCGGAGACGGCGAAGGGTCGAGAGTGGAGAGGATGGGGTGGTCGACGGGAAGGAGGAGGAGGAGCTTCACCTCGATGTGATCGGAGAGTGGGCGGAATGTGAGCGGAGAGTCGCCGTCGAGGAGGACGACGGGGAGCGGAACCCTAAGGGAGAGGGAGGAGGCGGTGAGGGTGAGGAAAGCGTGGGAGGAGTGAAGGTTCACGGTGAGGTCGTGGCATTGGAGGGAGGGGTTGAGGGTTTTGTCGTTGGGGAAGACCATTAAACGCAGCGTTGAGATGTGCGACTGCGCTTCCCATGTATAACGCCATCCATGTTCGCTGTCGCTGCCCATTCTGCTACCATACCCACCTTCGCTCTCGCTCTCGCTCTCTGCTCCTCCAAGCCAAATATAAGCGCCATTGGTCGTGAATAAAAAAGTTAGTTAAACAAAATTTTGAAGAAAAAAAACATGAAGTTCGGATAAAAGGTTAGAACTGTGGCTGCTGGGATTCGAGCCCAGGTCTCCACGGCCACAACGTGGAATTCTCACCACTAAACTACAGCCACCCTTGACACTAATTGCTTATATAACCTTTATATCTATTAGTATTGCTGGAGTTATAACTAACTTCCTAACCTTGGTCTGTGATATCCTAAGTAATAATACAAAACAACCTCTTAATTCTTTTGTAAAGTGTGAATTTTTTTAATGGGTTCTGATTATACTTTTGGTATATTGGATTCGTGCTGTGAAATTAATATTGAATTTTGTTTGTCATGATCTTTAATAAGTAATTACTCATGATCTTTAAGTTCATTTTACACTATATAAACTTTAGTATAGATGAGTTCTGGACTCTTAAAAAATTTGGGCTCAATCTAACTAATAAGCTGTATACATTGGTCCAATAATTAAAACACATTAATTAGGCTCCAAAAGGAATTTATCGAGAAGCTTCTGGTGGCAGATAAAACCTCAACACAAATGAAAAATATAAATCATGTTCTTTGAAGTTTTTTTTTCAGAGAAATCTATTAGAGGTGACAATTCTGGTAAGTTTTGTTTAAGGAGACATTTTCACACTGCTTCATATAATAAATACCAAGATAACTAAAACATACACGGCCAAAGTTCAGCCTTATCATTTTATTCCAATTAATATTAGGCATTATTTAGAGAAATTAATTGTGTTGTACATCGGTGTGATAGTAAAGTTATATGGTGTCTTTTCTAGTATAGTTTTCAATTGAGGTTTTAAATTTATCTCTTAATTTTGGAAGAGATTGTATGAGGCTTTAGAAACAAAGCTAAGGTTGAGTTCAGCCTACCATCTTTAAACTAGTGGTCAAATTGAGAGAATCATCCAATCCTTAAAGAAACTCCTTTAAGTTTGTGTTTTAGAACATGAGAGTAGTTAAGATAGTTTCTTACCTTTGATAAATTTTACTTACAAATAGTCATCATTCCTACATTGGAATAACACCTTATGAAACCTTGTATGGTAGGAATTGTAAGACACATTTTAATTGGATAGAACCCAAAAAGAGCATATGTTAGGACCAAAAGTAATCCATCAGACCACAAGAAAAGTAAGGTTAAAATCCAAGAGAGGATGAGAACTACCCTAGAGTTGGCAAAAGAGTTACCATCATAAGAAGAGGAAAGAGCTTGAGTTTAAAGAGGAAATCATGTATTCTTAAAAGTAATTCCTTAGATTGGTGTTGGTAGGGAATTGAAGTCCCGTAAGTTTACTATTTGATTCATATATGAGCCCTTACCAAATTTTGAAAAGAATCGGCAATGTAGCTTACCAAATAGTTTTGACTTGGTCTCTTTCAAACTTGCATAGTATCTTCCATTTGTCTCAACTCATAAATATATCCATGATCGCTCCTATGTCCTTGAGTTTGACAACATTCATCTAAAAGACAATCTCACTTATGAAGTTTTACGTTTGAAAATTGATGACAAGAGGGTGAAACAGTTAAGAGAGAAAGAAATTCTTTTAGTTAAAATTGTTTGAGGAGGAATCTACGAGGAAAATGCTACTTGGGAAATGGAGAGTGAAATTTGTGAGTCCTAGCCTTTCTTGCTTGCTATAGGTAAAATTTTGGGGACAAAATTTCTTTTAAGGAGGGGGAGAGTTGTAACCTCCCAAGTTTATAAATAGAATAAAATATGATTATTAACAATTAAATGTGTTTTATGAAATTAAGAAGGGTTTGCAAAAATATTAATTACATAATATAAGTATTACTTTGAGGGTTATATTTGTTTTATTTTAAAAAAAGAAAAGAAAAGGAAGAAGAGTTAATCTTGGGTTAATTCCTTTAACCTAAGAGTTGTATGGTTGTAAGGGGGTTATTTTGAAGGGGTTAAGTCATTAGGTTGATTTTACATTTTACGTTTATGTTTCTTCTCTTTTTTCCCCTAAACCTTATAAACCCACAAGGAGAACCTTGAAGCTATAGGAAAGAATCCTAGAGATTCCCTAACATCGTCAAACATTTATTGAGGTAAGGGAGGAGTGAGTTATCTCGTTTATGGGTGTGAGGTAATTGTTGGTAGTGAGATATATTGCCCCCAATCCCTATGTTTGTACTCTATTGCTTTGTAAGAAACCTTGAGACATTTAATTTGCTTGCATTTAAGGAGATAATTTTTTGTCTAGATTGAATTTTCATTCTTGATGATATGAATGTTCTATGTAATGTATGGTCGATCTTGTATTTGCTTGAATTTTGAATCTTTTGAGAATCCTTAGTTTCCTATAGAAACCCCCAAATTGATGGAGCAAATAAAGATTGGATTTGATGTTTAAGGCTTGTGTTATTGATGAGAAATTTGAGTAATTAATGATATAAATGAGTAGATTTAGGTTTCAATTCATGTTTTGACCAATTAGGGTATGTTTGGTTCCACGTTAAACATATATGAAATCGATTCCATTACATCCAAAATAACTAGAATCATGTTTGTTGCATGTTTGACTATTAATAAAATTGATTTCAAGATGTGAAAATTTACATACACTTGGAAGCAACTATTAATAGATTCTCCATTAAAGAAATCAATTTTGGAGTTTTATCTATCTAAATTTATCATTACACAATCAAAATTAATTTTGATAACAAGTTTCTTGAAGAATTCAATATGAAAGTCAAGTCTATATCCCTTGTCATCCAAACGAAAATCAAATTGCTTTTAACTCACATTTACTCAAAATCAAATTTGCAAATTTACGTTGATTCAAAATCAATTATATCAATGCATATCCAAACACACACTTAAAATTAGTTACGGTTGATGGTTAGGAACTACTATGATTTTTGCACATTCTATAGGTGGTCACAAACTGTCGTCACGTTGGGCTTGGGGATCACAACATTAGGTGCCCTGATCCCTAATTAAGATTGAAGGAGACTTTTCTATCTCAACTATGTTAGGCGCCAATAAAACTGCACTGGGCATGGAAGTTCTAAAAAGAATAAGTTGCTCTTTGTGGCTTTGTCGTTGGGTGTAGTGTTAACCTTATTGGGTGTGAGAGTCTCATGAGCTCTTAGGGGGTAATGACACCAAGTTGGGCGAGACACCTCTAGAGAGAAACAAGGTGCTCTCTTGAGTGATGGTGTCGAGCATGAGATGAGTATTGTAGGGCCCTACCATTTGAACATGAAAAGAGTAGTATGGGACTTAAGGTGATTCAATGATAGTTATACTTAAAGAATTGATATGTGATACTAATAGTATTATGAGAGCAATTTAGTAATTGATTAGAATGCTTAATTGATGTTGATCTTGGTGAATAAGTTGAGGTATCAATTAATTGATTTTGTGTATCTTGTGAACCTTGAAACTACCATGCATTGCGAAGTCTAAACTGATGACTTAGTCATTTAATGTATGGGCATGCTTGCCTAGCTAGGATAATCTGAAACTTGTGAAATGTGTGATTAGTGATGATGTCATATTGAGTTTTGCATTGAGCATTGTGTGTGATATGCATCGTATGCATAAAATGTCTTGTTATGGGGTATCAATATGGAATATAGTGTCAATGAAGGTCCCTTTTGTTTGACTTGAGGATTCATGACCTTAAGGATAGTAGGGATTTAAGAGCTCCAGTTTTGTCGTTGTGTGTATGGGGTGTAACTTGTGCAACATCTCTATTTTGAGACACCCTGATGTATCTTCCCCTTAGTTTAGAGTGTTGGGTGCCAGACACCTTGGTTGAGCGTCTATCATCTACTTGACCTCCCAAGTTATCCTATGATGAGCCTTTGGGTGACATGTGTTTTTGACTAGAGCTAGGTACATTTAGAATTAGGTTGAGTCATTGCATCTTCTATGTGATTATCTTGTGTGTGTGTTAGTGAGTGTACTTGTAATCCTTGTAGATTCTATTATATAATATTTAGTGTGAATGAAGTACATATATATTGTTTATAAATGTATGCTTATGTTTTGATTGTGGTTGCCTGATCTTTTTTAACATTGGGACATGAATGAGATGTATCTCACTCTTTTTCTATTGTGTTATAGTTTGATTTAATGTCATTGTATATGAAAATCATTAGAATGGTAGTGTTAGTAATAAAACTCAAACCTTGTAGTGTCTTTTGAATTGTGCCCTGATAGGATGTGATATCAATAATATTAATTAATTTATGTTTTTTTTTGTAACAAATATATAACAATGATCAAAATTTACTTATCCAAGAACCACCATAACAAGACAAAAGGAAAGAGCGTAACGAGAGAAAGTAGCCTAGTGAAAGATATTAATATGATATAAAAACATATTAACAAATTATAATTATATACCCATTATTATCACTTAAAAAAAAGCCTTGCATTGCTCGGGCTAATAATTAATTACTTGTTAATTTATAATTTTCATCATATCAATGTATTAAGCATCCAGCGTGGATTCCATTTGATGCCGACAAATGAAGTGGCATAGACAGAGATTAGGGTACTCCTAGAATTAAAATATATGTAAATGTGACCGTACAGCATGGTAATAATGGCATCTTCATATCGTACCCACAATATTCTATTGAATCTATCTGCACTAAAGAAAATGTTATTTTAAATTAATCTTTCTCTGGAGTCCTCATAATATTGAAAATGTATAACATATTGATAGGCACCTTTTTTCCATACTTCTGTGGCTATGAATATTGCCCCCAATATTAATTAAATATCAGCACTACCATAAAATTATTATAATTTTGATCCAATCACTGACCATTTTTGTCTTATCCACAACAATTAATATTGGGTACTTGGTGCAAATACATAGAATGTGACTGTAAAAAGGGAATATAACAGCCTTCTCCGATCTAGTATAAAATTTCTGGACAACGTGAGTAACCTTCTTTATGACACCTTAACACAAGAAAAACATAGTGATGATATATATAAGCAATGTATCAAGTACGTTGCTACTTGCTTGCTTTTCATCAATTCCTCATTCAAAAGCGAAGTCAAAATACACGTGAGGTACTGTGGCATAAATTATGGATTGGGCTATAATAAAAGATAAAAGGTGTATATGAAATAAAAGAATAAAAAGATAAAAGGTGTTTAATTTTTTTAAAAATAAAAATTATAATAATTATATAAGATTCAAACTTAAAATTATGTTTAACTTCACTATTAAGCTAATCTTAATTGTTTAGGTGTTCAAGACTTATCTTTCTTATTATTTTGACTTGAGTTAATTATGTTTTATTTAACTGCTGCAGTTAATTATGTTTTATTTAACTGCTGCAGTTAATTATGTTAAATTATAGGTTCTTGAAATTAAAGTGGGTGCATATTCGTCGGTCAAACTTGAGGCATCTTTCAAATTGTCCCTCGTTTACTCAATACCACATAATTCATAAAAGAATGAAGCTTATTAACTAATAATTATAAGACTTATATAAACTTATGTTAACGCAAACATAACAATATTGTTTTTGCATAAGCTTATTAAATATCCTCTCTCTTTTTTTCTTTTTTTTAAAAAAAAAAACAAAATTCTACTTCTAAAATATTAACTATGACCTCTATACATTAAAGTCAAAGCATATACATTTTGTTCATATTGGGCTGAAGAGAGTCAACAATTGGTTAGGTCCAATCTAAATAAACAAAATTATTAGTTTTGACTCATGTTTACACTTATATATATATATATATATATATATACCGAAATGCATCTTTTTCACGAAGTTCTCATCCAAGCCTCATCTTTTAATTCAAATTAACAAATAAATCTTAAAAATATTTTATGCATTGATTTAAATTATTAAAATGGAGTATCAAATACTTTTCCAATTTTTTTAAAATTTGTAAACTTGATTTATATATTAAGAACTTTTAATTCAATGATTAGATCGTTGAAATTTGATGTAGAATATGAGTTAAGTATATATAAGAGGGTTCAAATGATATTGGTAAAATTTTATTAACTATTATACTGTTTAATAGCTTTATATTAAATGTGAATGTTGTCCCTCTAATCATTGAATTATAACTTCATATCATCTTGTATGTTTATATCAAATTTTGTTAAAATTGAACAATAATTTGAAGGTAATCAAAGTGTTCATATTTTAGTATATTTTGAAATGTATATATTTCGTCAATTTTATTTTATTAGAATGATGTATCAAATAATCTTGAATTGATATAAAATTTTGTATATATGATTTAAAAGTAAGAAACTTTCAATCTAACAGTAAGTTTTATAAAATTCATATTTAATTGAAAGTTATCGAATATTGTAATAATTGATAAAAGTTACACTAGTTTCATTTGAACTCTTATATATATATATATACACGAGCGACTTAAGAGAGAATATTTATTAGTATGAGAACATGATAATAAGTAATAATAACTCTTAAATTAAAATAAACGTTTTAGATTAAAGGATCAAAAATAAAGTTATCATGTATCACAAGTAACGTAGTTGCTTTATCTTTATCATTATCACCATTGTTATTGCAACTGTTACTACCACCACTACTGCATCCCTATTGATACTACCACCATTACCATTATTGCTACCATCACTATTGTCAGCAATGGTAACAATAATAGTGATAATGGTGATGGTGACGATGACGACAGTGGTGTAATGGTGATGACAGGGACGGATCTACATAGGAGATAGTGGGGGCACTTTGCCCCCACTACCATTTTATGCATATTTTTTTTATTAAAAAAATAATATATTTTAAAAAATAAAATTTATATTCTAATAATATATATATATATATATATATATTTAAATTATCATATGTATAAAATATAAATTTGAAGGAGGTGTTCATTTATTTAATATTTTTTAAATTTTTGAAGGAGATTAGTTCTCATATGTGATAAAGAATACCCATTAATAATGAATTAGTTTTTTAAAAAAAGTTTAATTATATATATATATATATATATTAATTTTCACTTATATAAAGTAATATATTAAAAAAATTATTTTTTGATAAAATAAAATTTGTACTATGCATGTTTACCTTTTGTACTTTCTATTTATTGTATACGTTGATTAAAAAGATCAAAATAATAAAGATTGTAAGATTGTATATGTTGATTAAAAAAATCAAAATAGGAAAGGTTGGAAGATTTATATTCTATTTTGAATTTTTATTATAAAATATATTTTAAAATAAATTATCATCTAAAAATTTATATCAAATATTAAAAACATTTTATATCATAAATAAACTAAACTTGTTTTTTTTTATTATAAAATTTAACATATTTAAAAAATATCTATGACAGATAAATAAGTCATATTAAAGACATGTAATTTTAAAGAAAGTTAGGTTCAAATCTATTAAATTATAATATAATCTAGTCTTACCCGATTTATTTCCATCCTTAATCATAATTGTAGATATAAAAATTGTAAAAATAATTATGATATATATTTATACTTTAAAATTTTTAATACTACAAATATATGAGTAAGTATTGCTCCCACTACCTAAAATTTCTAGATCCGTCACTGAGTGATGATAGTGGTTATAGTGATGATGATGATGATGTGGCAATAGTGCAATAGAGGTAGAGGTGACAACAATTGTAATAATATAATAATGATGACAATGATAAAGTGAACTATATGATAGCGACAATATATAATAATTTTATTGTAGTCTTTTAATGTAAGGATTATTATTAATTATTCTCATATTTTCGTACAAGCAAGTTTCTCACATGAATCATCCCACACACACACACATATATATATATATATATATGTGTGTGTGTGTGTGTTTGAGTGTGTGTCTGTGTCTGTGTAGAATTATGCATAAATTTTATGAAAAATATATTTAATTAAAGATGATTTAGATAATTTTTTAGAGCTACATATATATAATTATCAAGTTTTATTGTAATTTTTTTAATAATATAGACCCATTTGTTTATTTATTTTTCTCAAAAAATAATTTTTAAATAAAAAGTTTTTTTTTTTTACTTTTCATTTTTAAATATGTTTGTTTAAATTGTTTTTTATTTTAAAATTATTTTTGTAACTTTTATTTAAGAAACAATTTTATATGCTTCTTTAAAAAGAAGTTTTTTTAGAAACACTTAAAAAAAAAAAGATTAAAACAATTGGCCTATATATTTGAAAAGTTATATTATTATTAGTTATATGATGAATTTAAATGAAATATTTAATATTTTCAACTATTATTTTTATTATATTTGTGGATTAAATATATTTTTTTTCTTCTATATAAAATAAATGAGATTTGATTTTAATTTTTATAACATTGTTTTTTATTTTCATGAAAAATACGAAATCATCGATTTTGATCTTTGTTGTCATGTAACACTCCTTAATTGGTGTGTGTTTAAGGAAAGATGAAGTTATCATCCCAAGTAATGCTCACTAGTGCCTAATGTATATCATGTTATAACACTTCTACTTTTGTTTGGATCCCTAAAATATTAGTATTTATTTATATTAAAATAAATGTTTGAGATAAAAATAACGATTATTCATATCTTAATGGATAAAAAAAATATTTTATAGAGATCAAAATTAAAGTTAACTCATTTAAAAAAAAAATTAAAAAATATTGAATTCAAATTTTAAAAGAATAAAAATTATTTTGAAATCAAAATCAAAATTCACTTTTTTGTAAGAACTAAAAATACATTTAATCTATAGATATTATATATCTTATCATTTATTTAATATTTTCTAAAAAAAAGTGAGATTAAAATTGGAAATCGATCTAATTAATCCAAATTACTTTAGACCGAATCAGATTGAACTTAAATTTTAAATATAATCAATTTAATGGTGAATTAATAAAATTGAAGTGATTATATAGGATGATTTTTCTTTTTAAAATCGAGAGTATAGTGTTTTTTTTTCTTTCTCTTTCATCCAACTTACTTTTTATTTTCTGCACTCATCATGTCTTAAAACACCCATTTCGGAACACATAAAATTGTGTGTATAGGAAGCAATTGTCTAAAATGATCTGATCTAATCCATGAATAACCATATGCTAGAAATTCATCTAACTCAACTCAAATTGAATACTCTATCATGTCCATAATTTTTTAAGTTTGCAAATTTTGCACAAAATATATTTAATACTAATATATCAAGCCAAAAATATTATCGTTCAATATCTTTAACAAGATAAATTAATTATAGAGTAAGAATAACAATAGTTAAATAGAAACATATGTGAAAAAGTTAATTAATACTATTTAAAATATGTAAAAAACAAAAAAGAAATAGAACAAAAGAGAAAGTTTAAAACATTAAAAAAAAAAATTATGTACATAAGAGGGAGCAACTTTTTCTCTCCACCTTAGATCAAACCTAATTAATCGATATGTAACTTTGAAGGATCAGCATATCCCTTAACAATTAAATAGCAATCAATAATGATGGTGGCTGAAAAAACGTTTGACAATTAATACAACTAAAATTTCCCTATTCCCTCTCAATAATGATGGTGGCTAAAACCACCGGTTTGACAATGCAAACACAACTTCCCCAACAAAGAGATGGCTCAAATAATTAACTCATCACACTTTGCCGTATGACTCACATTCGATCTTAACCAAAATTAAATAGTCCTATTGTTTTGAAATGCTATATTATTGTATGCATAACAAAAGGTCCACTAACCTTTTACCGAGGAAAAAGGGTCCATACCACTACCCCAACTTTATGAAGAATTTACATATATTCATGCATATTCCCCGAAGGTGTCATATCTATGTCTACCCCAAAAGCATATAAACACAGTCAACTTGTTGATCCGAGAACCGGTATATATAATAACCTTGCTGTCTAGCACCATAACCTTCTTTCAGGGCCTTTTTTCGAAGCTCTATGCACTTGCTTTGGGAATTCCCCTTATAACTAGAGTGATCTTTTGAGTGAGCATAGTGAACTCCAAAAGACCTAAAAAGGGAAGAGAGCAACAAGGAGGAAAAGGGCTTGCAACTTGTGCATGGTATCAAGTATATCAACATATATATCGCATCTTATTACATTGTAAAAAGTGAAAGGTGTATCAAGCTTGATAGGGTAGCTAGCTAATTAGCTTGATTACTTTTGTTTAGGGATCTTCAAGTTTTAAGATAACTATGGATTTTGCCAGTTTTCATCTTCAGCATCAGCTCCAAGAAGAATCTGCTCAGTGTTTAATAACTTCATCAACCCCACCACATGATTCTAAACCTTCCACTGATATCACTAGTCAATCATGGATCCCAAGCAACATGTTGTAAGTTCCTTAGCACCCCTTTAAGTAGAACTCAACTCTTGATCTATAACTTAAATACCCCAATATAATTATAATAACTAATTAATAATCATCGTCTCAGGTGAAACTAATGAAATCTTTGAATCAGATGATATGATATTTGAGTTCTTTGAACCCTCTTTAAATAAAGTGGACATCTTTTTATGTATGTCACTGTTTTCTTGGGGCCTGTGAATGTTATTCAACAAAATTTAACTACTTATATAGCATATTAAACATATGATGTGATCTTTTGGGAAAAGATAGGGATATATACAGTAGAAAGCATGCACTAATTTGTACAGGACTTTTCCACTACAAATCTTTTGATTTTTAAAGTCTGCTAGCTGCAGTGGTATCCTCATTTTCAAGATTATTCCACTGTTGTTGAATATTCCTGATTATTAATTCATCAAATTTCATGATTATTCTGCTGATTTTCTTTGATTTTAGTTGTTTCATCTTTGAAACAGCGATATCACCCATTAGCTTATATGTGTGAGTTTGTTTGCAGCAATGGTTGTAACAGTGGATTTCCAACCGAAAACTTTACAAATTCAAGAGAGCTACAACACAAGCACGCCACAACTGATTCATCACTAAGAATTTCAACAAGGCAAGCCTTTAGTTTTCACCATGGAAAAAGCCTCACTCAACAGCCAGATAGTGATCTCGTTCCAGCAAGAATCAAAGGTGAAATGATCAACACTATGGAGGAATCATCACTAGTCCCTATTCATGAACCACGATATTCTCCTAGTTTCTTATCTAGTCTTCGTGTAACCGGTGAAGAGTTTTTTCTTGCGGAGAATAATGCATATCATGATGACAAGCCTATAGATGGAGGGACCCTAAGCAAGAGATACAATAACTTTGGCGATGTTTCCTTGAATTGGAATTTACCAACCCTAGATATGACCTCTTCCTTAGTTTCATGTTCTTTGGGATTAAATCCTAAAATGTTAGATCTGCATACAAGTAATCATGCTCTTCAACCTTGCTATAATACTTTTGGTCTTAACGAGAGCATGTCTTTGAGCTATGGTGACATGCATGGCCGCGAAAATAGTTCATCAAACAGCTCAAATAAAGTGAGTACTATATTTCTCTACTTCTCTTATGCAAGTAATACATACAAGTTAATAATGAATAAAACTTTTTATGACTTTAAAATTAAGTTGTACAGACCTTTTTTTTTTTTTTTTTTTTTTTTTTTAAATTTTTTTAAACGTTTTTTTTTTAAAAAAA